GTCCAAGGGGAAGGAGGTTACTTCTCCATCCTCATTTTTTATATTCTAGGCAAGGATTCTGATGGATCTAGTGTGAGTCATATGCCCCACTTCCATGGAAAAGAAGACAGGATATGGTGATTGGACAGCCACATGGAGTCAGGAAGATGTAGAAGTTCTTCAAAGGAAAGGATGAAAAGAATGAGGGGTCACCAAAGACACACAATCAAAAGATGTCCACTCCTCAGGTTTGAGGACAAACTTGAGGTACTGACTCCAACTAGAATGAACAATGAACATACTTCCCAATACTCCCCTCTACGGTGGCTCCAAATTTCCCCAGTAGGCAGAACCTGGGGCAAGTTTTCTACCTCTGCTAGAAAGAAACTCATTCTACTGCCAAGAAATTGTCAACAAATTGGACACCATGAGATTAACCGGTCCTGTCTACTATTTCTGTCCTCTAGGATGTGACCAGAGCCAAAATAAAAGTGGACCATTCTAGGGAGGTTCCTAGAGCTGAAAGACAGCTAGAAAAGTACAGTGACAGAAAATACTGTTTTCTGGAGTTTCTTTCAAAAGTGGATTCTGCAGACTGTAAGCACCTGTGGAATTGTCATTGATGATTCTGATGTGGAGAAGCAGAGCATAAGGCTAGGAGTGTAAATTTACCCTCACAAAGGGATGTCAATTCCCACTGGACTGGAGAGCAGCTAGCTTCATATTCCTGCATTAAAAACTGTCCACCGTATGCACTACTTTGGCTCATAATGGTCTGGAGCAAGTAACAGATGGAAAAGACGTTTGTCCACTAGAAAGCAGCAGCTATGAAGACAAGAGATGCCTTTTCCCTTCTCTGAGATAGTAATACTCAGGAAAGGTACATGGATTCAGTTCCCTAAAGGCAAAATAGTATAGTATTGTGCAAACGCTCTGCAACCAGAATGCCCAGGGTTCATGTTCCCAGCTTTTCCCCTTAAGTTCTATGGCAATGGAATATGTACTTCTCTTCTCTGTGCCTCATGGAAACAATAAAAGTTACCAATCTCATAGGATTAAATGACTTCATAAATATAAGGTGCTTACAACAGTGTCACACAGTGAATGTGCAATGAAAGTTTGCTCCTTTTATATACTTTGCTTATCATTCTGTTTATGGCTTGTTGGGGCTCAAGGCAGGCACTCCAAAATATGCCTCAGACATATTATTTTGAATTCAAGTTACTTAAGAAATAGCCATTACAAGAGGGACTCTTTGACCCTCCCGTCTCTCGAAAGCAGGAAATAAATCTTCCCTGTGACAGGTACCCTTCCTGTGCTGGGAGGTAGGAAGACATCCTTATCAGTAGAGATAGGGAATTCAGACCAGAAGTTTATCTCAACAAACTTTGTCACTTCCTTTCTACCTTACTACCCAAGTCCAAACTTTTTCCTTACTAATTGAGCGTGTGTGCTCAGTCATGTCTGGCTTAATGCAATGCAATGGACTGTAGCCTGCCAGGCTCCTTTGTCCGTGGGATTTTATAGGCAAGGATACTGGGGTCAGTTGCCATTTCCTCCTCCAGGGAATCTTCCCAACCCAAGGACTGAACCCAAGTCTCCTGCATCGGCAGGCAAATTCTTTACACTGAGCCACCTGGGGAGTCCTGCTAATTAAGCACCCAAACTTAGATTTCTTTGTTCTGTCAATTCCTCTCAATTTTGTCTGAAAACATAAAAGCTAACTTCTTTGGCCACTTCTTAGGTCGCATTACTAAGAGACTTCTAAAAGAATTAAATTTTTTTCTTTTTCTCCAGCTAATCTATCTTGTATCAATTTAATTATGTGTCCATTCATAAGAACTCAAGAGAGGTAAAGGGGGAAATTACTCCTTCCATGATAGGCTTCACCCTAATTTTGTTTAGTAAAAAGTCTTCCAGTTGCTCTCTTTACTTCTGGCCAATAATCTCTGTTTCAAATACATATTGAAATGTCCCATAAAGTGCTTTCAAGAATATTTCATGTAACAAAAGTTTATACATTTTGAGGGGTTAATTTTTATTTTTGTTTTAGTGAAAAACAACTAACTGATTACTTTCTTTGGGGCTGTCCAGGAGGAGGAAATTAAATATAACTTAAAACATTCAAAATGAAAAACTATTACCTGATTAAACTACACCTAAATTAATATTTGATTGAAAAAATAACTTGAAAAAGTGGCTCAGTTAAAAATGTAAATTTGAAAAAAAAATTAAATAAATAAAAATGTAAATTTGTTGTCATTTTAGGATCGACATTTGGCACTGTCTGCCACAAATAATTAAGCAGTAAAATTACTTACAAAGTTCTCCATGACTTACCAGGTTCTTTGTTAGAAGGCAACCAGCTTCAAATGAGAGTAACTGGTAACAGTAGCTTTAACAAGAAAACCTTTTATCTCACATGATACTCTGAAAATGGGTGGTTCCTGGACTAGCTCAAAGGTCAATAGAGTCCTCAAATATCCAGGTCTCCTTTTTTTTTCCCCCTTTTCTTTGCCGTTCTTAGCAAACTGGCTTTTCATGACCACAAGCTAACTGTCAGAGCCTTGGACATCAAGTATTCATATTACAGTGTACCTAGCAGGGAGGAATGTAATGGAGAGGCAAAGAGCCTTCTTTACATAAAAACTTCCTTCTCTCTCAATCAAGGAAGACAGCCTTTCCAGAATTTTCTAATAGACTTTCTCTTTCAGTTCACAGGCAGAGTTGGGTCATGTATCCATACTTAAGAGCCTTCCCTGGTGGCTCAGCTTGGTAAAGAATCCACTGGCAATGAGAGAAACCTGAGTTTGATCCCCGGGTTGGGAAGACCCCCTGGAGAAGGGACCGGCTACCCACTCCAGTATTCTGGCCTGGAGAATTCCATGAACTGCACAGTCCATGGGATCACAAAGAGTCGGACACGACTGTGTCCATACTTAAGACTAATGACTGGCAAAGAAGAAAGGAGTCAAGATGTACTGAGTTAGACTAGTCATAATTTATCCCCTGGGACTGAGGTGAGACCGATCTTCCCTGGGGACAGGGCAAGCAAATGGTAACTGAGAAGACCTCACAGTGAGAAGAAAGTCTCAGCATAAACTCTTTGGGTGTAAGAAGGGTACGCAGCCAAGAACTTCCACAGCATTGTCTGCACGAAGCACTGCCTACCTCTGCCCCATTCCAGCTGGGGCCTTCCACTTCACACTCAAGTCCTACTTAGCTTCCTGTAGTTCCAAATACATTTCACAGCTTCCAGATTCTGATTACAACACTTTGTGTGCTGAGAAATGTTCTCCACCTTTCCTCCTTGTTCTTCATGGCTGCTCCCTTTTGTAGAGAATCTTTCCAATAACTTGGCCTCTCAGTTCTGTGAGTTCCTATATTCCAGTAACTGAATCTCCCACCCCCACTCAGCCACTTATTTTGTGGCCAGACCCAAGACTGATTAACTGCATCTCCTCCACAATCTCAATTTCCTGTAGCTTCAGCTAAAGGGCAGGTTAATGTGCCCAGCTTACAAAGTAATTCCCAAAGTAAGTCTAACCTAAATTCATCTATAATGGCTCAGGAAACAAATTCTCCAAACGCAATGCCCATTTCTATGACCCAAAAGAAAAAAAATAAAAATTTCTCTTTCCAGCACTCACAAATGCTGGAGTTCTTTTTGTTTCCATCCCTATGTTAACCTCCATACTTTTGAGGAACAAAGTCCCAAAGATCCAACATACTTATGTTCCCCTCCCTGATACTGTCTACGAATTGCTGTCTCTGAATTCTATAGAAAAACAAGAAGGTGAAAGGGAAAGTCACTCGGTCCTGTCTGTCTCTGCGACCCCACGGACTATAGCCTGCCAGGCTCCTCTGTCCATGAAATTCTCCAGGCAAGAATACTGGAGTGGGTAGCTGTTCCCTTCTCCAGGGCATCTTCCCAACTCAGGAATAAACCCAGGTCTCCCTCATCGCAGGCAGATCCTTTACTGTCTGAGTTACCAGGTAAGTCCCATCACAAACAAGAGAGACGTGTAATTTGCTATTTGGGTCATCTGAAAAAAGTTACCCCTATGGTAGAAAGTTGTTGTTGTTCAGTTGCTAAATTGTGTCCCACTCACCGCGACCCCATGGACTACAGCACGACAGGCTTCCCTATCCTTCACTATCTCCCGGAGTTTGCTCACATTCATGTCCACTGAATTGGTGATGCTGTCTAACCATCTCATCCTCTGCTGCCCCCTTCTCCTTTTGCCTTCAATCTTTCCCAGCATCAGGGTCTTTTCCAATGAGTTGGCTCTTTGCATTATGTTAATAGAAAGATAACTGTCAAAATTTCTGGCATGGCACACTAAGGCAGTTTTTCTCAATTCAGCCTGCTGTCTTGTAATCAATAGAAATTCTGTCTACATTCTAGGACTTAAGTTCTTTATCAGTTTTCAACATTATGGTTTTTTGTTTTTTTTTTTGGTCTTTCAGTATTAAGTTACATGATACTACATTGGGAGCTACTAGCCAGATACCATTTTTAAAAAATATTTTATTTATTTGGCTGTATCGGGTCTTAATCGCAGGACTTGGGATCTTTCACTGTGGCATGCAGGCTCAAGCACTCTGTGCCACGTAGGGTCTTAGTTCTCTGATCAGGTATCTAACTGCGTCCCCTACATTGCAAGGTGGATTCTTAATCACTGGACCACCAGGGAAGTCACCAGATACTATTTTAAAACTAAAATTGTTTAGTGTTTAACAAGGTAAAAATTCAGTAAAAATATTTTAAAACATCTCATAAAAAGTGAAGCCATTTTAAAATATCTTAAGATTCTCCCTATTTACTTCCGTATTGAAAGAGTAAATAAATCAGATTGGGGGTAGAGAATGTATTTTAAACTGCTTCACACATTATGCAAAGAAGGAACCATGAGAAATGAAGAACAAAAATAAAAATATCCCTGGATAAAATCCACGTGTACAGAAGATGATTCAGGATGTTATAAATAACTCATATGAGGTAAAGCAAACATGCAATATTTATATATCATTCTCTGAAGAAGGGACATATTTTATTAATCCTAAATTGCTTAGCAGATTAATAACAAAAGCTTAGTACATATTATCAACAAGTCCAACTGCAGGGCCCACAGAAAACGCAAATGAGTTTAAGGTGAGTTTGCTTCTTTTTCCTCTGATTCATCATCCATAACCTAAAACAAACAAACAAACAAAAGAGAATACAAGAATTAAGGAGTAGAAATTTCTATTTTCATGATTTTAATATTACTTGCTTACCTAAAATACTCTGCAACAATGCATACCAATCTAGTAAGAATAAATCTATCAACAGCCCCAAAGCACAACATTTGCATCAAAATCTGATATTCTAGCAACATAAAAGCCAACTGAATATTCAGTTCAGTTCGGTTTAGTCGCTCAGTCGTGTCCGACTCTTTCCGACCCCATGAACCGCAGTATGCCAGGCCTACCTGTCCATCACCAACTGCCGGAATCTATTCAAACCATGTTCCTTGAGTCGGTGATGCCATCCAACCACGTCATGCTCTGTCGTCCCCTTCTCCTCCTGCCCTCAATCTTTCCCAGCATCAGGGTCTTTTCAAAGGAGTCAGCTCTCCGCATCAGATGGCCAAAACATTGGAGTTTCAGCTTCAACATCAGTCCTTCCAATGAACACCCAGGACTGATCTCCTTTAGGATGGACTGGTTGGATCTCCTTGCAGTCCAAGGGACTCTCAAGAGTCTTCTCCA